ATTCATTTAATAATTATGTAGTTTATAAGTCCATTTAATGTTTAAATAAGAATGATATATATATTTTTTTGTCCCTGAGAAAGCAGTCTTTTCAATTTTAAATCCAATATAGAATGTATTTCACATTTAGGAAGATTATGTTCTTATTTCCTTCACTTTTTATTCTAGCAAGCATGTTACGGTCAAAGTAAAAATATATATTTAAAATGTTAAATGCGATCATATTTTTTACAATTTTAAATTATTTATTTATATATTTTATCTTGTATGCTGTTTGGGTTACTGCATTTCTCTGGGATGCACAAAAATATCTGTATGCTTTAAATTTTATGTCTTTGCATGAAAAAAAAAACATAAAATATGTTTTATTTATACTGTTTTCATATCATTCCATCCAACCATTCTTCTAACAGACAGCAGACTCTTCTACGTTGGTCCCAGACGGCAGTTCATGCGGCTTGTGGTACTTTCTGAGAAAGAAAGAACATCTGTCTTGATGGAGTGCCACAATAATCCTGGTACTGGCAACCACAATGGCAGGAGGGCCACTCGAGACAGGGTTATTGCTGGGTATTATTGGCTCACCATCACAAAGGATGTTGATGGGTAATGTAAAACAAATTAATTATGGCTCATTAATTATGGGGAAGGAGTTTGTGAACCAGGTGAAATTTTATCCATCTTCTCTTCTGACATTTTTGCAAACTTCAGTCCTTTGAAGATATTTATGTGTTCCCTGCAGCTCAATGACAGTATCTTTAAACTGCTGAACATCCAGCATGCTGTGTCCAGTGCATACCACCCCCAGACCAATGGACAGGTATTTAGCCTTTGTTTTGCAAGAACTTCCATGTTTAAATCAAGTTGCTTTATTTATGAAAAAACATATCTTTCATTTAGGATGAAAGGACAAATCAAAATATAAAGCGTGCTCTGAGGAAGTATGTCAACGAAAGCCATAATGACTGGGACCTTCACCTTCCTGCAGTTGTTTATGGAATTAACACTGCCAAGCAGGTAGTACACTAGTGTTTCATTTGCACAAAATATCTGAAAACAGATAACCATGAACTTTTTTGCTATCAGTCTTCAACCAAATACACCCCATACTTCCTCTTGTTCCACCGTCACCCACGTCTGCCCGAGATAATGAATACCTGTCCAATGGGAGACAACTTTGAGGTTGGTGATGCAGAGGATGAAATCGATAAACGGCTGACTGAAGTACCTACACAATCTTAATACCAAGGTTTGTAAATGTTGAGAAAATACTAGAAATAAGATTTTTTTTACAATCTTGCCTAAAGTGCATTTCTATTTTTGAAGGTTCTTCAAAATATTGAAATGGCACAGGAAAGACAGCAAAGGACTTTTGGAGACCGGAAACGCAAATTTACCCGTGTCGCAACTGTTGAGGCTGGGGATGAATGTCTGATTTCAGGGGCTTCAAAAAGGCCACGTACAGGGGACACATTGACCAGCCAGCACAGAGGACCTTACAAGATTGGAAACATTACAAAAAAGGGAGTGGCCACTGTGCTGAAGGGATCAACAACCATGAAGGTCAATGTGTCCAGACTGAGGCCCTATTATAGGTTAACAAGTAAGTGCTTTTAGATGTTCCACACTTCTGTGTCTTTGTGTTCATATTTTTACTTCATGAGAATAACTGAAAAAATGTTGTCATCATATATACAACCAGATGAGCAACTATCTGAAGGGCAGCTCCTCAACGACCACGAATACTCCTCTAGGGACTGGCAGCAGGAGCATTCCTATTGTTTTTCTGGAGCAAAGTGGGAACGGGATGTGAACCCAGTTCAAGAGGCTCTTGTATGCTTTGACATATTTTGCTCTGAATCTGCGCCTGACTGGCTCTGCTAATTTAATCTCCTCTCCTTTCTCACATTGCTGCCCTAAATGTAATAACTTCTCCTGAAATATTTAAATTTTCTTTCATTTAGCTATGTTACATATTGGACCAGGATTGTTCACCTGCTGAGCTAATTGTGAAGGAGGGAAGTGTGTGCCTTACACGTGAGGATTTCTGGTCCTTGGGGTTAAGTCAGTGCATGGAATCAAATGTAAGTATTCTTAAATGTGTCTCATAAAACCTGTAATATCTAACTGTCTAATCACTGGTTAATTTCAATGTTTTTCAGATTGAAATGCTTGCCTGAAAATAGTAGAGGAAACGGCAAAAAGATTTGTAATTAAATTGCCTAGATCTTCATATTTACGCCCTGTGAAACAATTGAAATGCTTAACATCATTCTTTCTGTTTTCACAAGGGAAAAGACATACACATCTTCAATCTGTATGTGGTGCCCCTGTGGAAGGCAGATGTGGATCCTTTGTGTTCACTGCCTGTAGGTATTTTTGTGAATTTATCTATATTGCTGTCCTCCTCACTCTTTCTATTCTTCAGTGTATACAACATGTATGATGTAATATTAATGCATATTGGTATTATTAGGACCTGACAACTAAAGACCTTGTAGTTTTCCCAGCATGGAGCCAACAACAGGACGCTGCTGATCACTAGCTCCTCTGCGTAATGACAATTTTTGTATTTTAAATAATCTCAGTGAAGGATTTATATGTATTGCTGTTTAATGATGTGATAATAAAAAGAATATCAATTGCAGGTTCTACTGGTAAAACAGAGAGAGATAGTGTTTCTTGACTCCCTTCGACCAGATGGTTTTGGTGACGAGGCCTACAAAAATATATTTAGGTTCAAGCTATATTGATTCACTGGTTGTGGCCTATTGCCAGTTCTGTCTCTTTGGATATATGTTCATAAAAGCCTCGTTCTCAGGCTAGGTGCTCATAAAAGCCTCGTTCTCAGGCTAGGTGCTCATAAAAGCCTCGTTCTCAGGCTAGGTGCTCATAAAAGCCTCGTTCTCAGGCTAGGTGCTCATAAAAGCCTCGTTCTCAGGCTAGGTGCTCATAAAAGCCTCGTTCTCAGGCTAGGTGCTCATAAAAGCCTCGTTCTCAGGCTACTTGCATATTTCAGTGTGTCACCTTAATCTGAATTTATAATTCAAATGTATGCAGACGCATTGCAGCCTTTATTGATCCAGGGCCATGGTCTGAGAAGACAGGGAGAGACCTTGAAGTATGTTTGTAATTATCAAAGTGTAAAATGTTTGCAGTAAAACACATATTTATCGCTCATATATTGTTGTACTTTTCTCTCATTTTACATGTGTCTTTTTGCTTCTCTTTGCTCAGCATTTTCCTCTTCAGTCCAACGGACATGACTGTGGGATCTTCATGTTAATGGTATTCACTGCTTACTTAAAGCTTTTACTCATGGCTCAAACTGTGTGTTACAGTTATTTGATGTTTTACAGTATGCCCTCTGCATCAGCACATCAACCCCATTTACCTTTTCCCAGGTATGTTTATTTTAGTTTTTGGGGGGTTGATTACATTGAAATTCTTCTAGCCACTTGTAATTTTTATTATACTTGCTTTTGCCTGTTTTTTCAAGTGGGAGATGCCAACCATTCGCCGTTGGTGGTGCCTCCAGATAATGGAGAGGTTTTGCATTGAAGGGTACCTTCACACAGGAAACTTCAATGTCTTCTGTATTTTAGTTTACTATGTGCTAATGATCCTGTTGTTCCATTCAAAGGCATGGACAACGATTTGCTCACTGGACAGAAGAATCCTCCCATCTACTTGAAGGACTCCTGGAACCGGTCTTTAGGGTTCCAAAGTCCACCAGTGCAGAGACTTCCCCCAGAAATGGTGATGGTGGAGAGGGCAATGCGAAGGTGTGTGTTTAATGTTTAGTGCTAGTGTAGCGAGGGTGAAAAGCATCAAGCTCCTGGTTCTGCTCTTTTCCTGATCACCTCTTTTGAAACTACAGAATTGAGTCACGTGTGTATATATATACTATATAGTATTTTACGTTTTTTTATGTACTTTTTTCATACTTTAGGGACAGACACAGACCCTGAGGGACTTGCATAAAGCATGGGACTGGATTCAACAGCACAAAGCCTTATTCTGTGGGGAAATAGGAGAACCTGAAGTCTTACAGGTGAGCAAGCCCAGGCAGAAAATGGCCCTTGAAGGATACAGTTCTGCAAAGGATCCCTTCTTAATTTCCTTCCAGTATCAGGAAGACATGGAAATGTTTTACATCAACTGTGTTGATGTAATGGGACTAAAGGTCGATACCATGTTTTGCGAGCATAGTTCTTAGAATGTTTGTATAGTCAGTTCTTAATAAGTTTTAAAGGTTTTCTTTCTCTCTCTGAATTATTTTATTCTCTGCCCAACTTTTCTAACCACTATTTTTTAATAATGTATGCTTTGGCTTTGTTATGTGTTCTTTGTTCTATTCCCTGTTTGGTTTTTGTAAAAAATAAACAATGTGGGCATTAATGACGAGGTCTTCTCCTGTTTTTGATGTGTACACCAGAGGGCGCCAAAATATCAACTGATAACTTTAACGTTCTTAAAAAATCTATTTTATACAAGAGTATTTGTGTTCAAGTTTATTATACAACTTTATGTAATGTAAAACATTACAATATGGATTATATATCTATATAGATATATATGTGTGTGTAAACAAAATTAATGTTATTAAGGAATAAAATACATTTTTTTTTCTCAAATAAAAAAATAATAGAGTGCATTCACCCTATTATCATAGAGTGCATCAGATAAACGTTACGCAATAATATATTCCCAGACTGCTCTTAGCATGTCTGATGATGACGTCAACAATACAATGGATTGAATTTAAAAAGCATCCATTTCTTCCAGAAAAGTCTTCAATATTGTCTTTACGATGTAGTTTAGTGTTCTTTAATTATTTCAGGATATAAATAAAGTTTTTTCAGTAACGTAATTACATTATTTTTTGGCGACCCGGAAGTTATTCTGTTCGCGCAGGCGCAAATGAGCTGATGGTACGGATCGTGCTACCGGTACGGATCGGGTAGCGACAAGCGGCTCGCGCTGCACATCCAGAAGCTGGACGCTCGCATCAGTGAGAAGCGGAACCGGAAGCAGCCATGAGCTTCTTCGGGTTCGGTCAGACTGCGGACATCGATATCATCCTGAATGACGCCGAGACGAGGAAGAAAGCGGAGCACAAGAGCGAAGACGGAAGGAAGGACACATATTTCCTCTTCTACGACGGAGAGACGGTGGCCGGGAAGGTCAGCGTGACGCTGAAGTACCCCGGGAAGAGGCTGGAGCACAGCGGCATCAGAGTGGAGTTTGTGGGTCAGATAGGTAAGCGGGCCGCTTCCTGTCTGCGATCAACAAGTTCCCTCTGGAACAGGCAGGGAGTCTCGTGATCGCTGACGTCATCACCTACAGAGGATCATCCCTGAGTGGGTCCCTGAGGGCCGCTGTCCTGCAGGTTTCAGAGGTTTCCCAGCTTCAGCACAGCTGATTCTGATGGTGGAAGCCTGTTCATCTGGGAAACCTCTGAAACCTGCAGGACAGCGGTCCCTGAGGGCCCACTGTGAGGTCCCTGATCTAAGCTAAACCTTCCAACCCTCTGCAGGGTTGGAAGGTTTACACTCCTCTCTACTCATGTTTTAATTTCCCTGTCTTCCCAAATCAATGGAAGGATCATGCTTACAGGGATGATGATGATGATGATGATGATGATGATGATGATGATGATGATGATGATGCAAACAGAAGGCGGCTCTCACGAGGAAGAGGTCTTGACTCAGGGATCCAGCTTTCAGCTCCTGGATCTGTTTCCCAGGGACAGATGTTAACCTCTGCAGGGACACTAAGAAAGCTGGCCTCAGTCAGGGGTGGATTCAGGAAATGTGGGGTCCTAGGCAAAGACAGGCAGGGGGCCTCTGAATGGAGAAGACAACACATAGAACAGACCCATTCTAAGGATAGAGAAATGTTAATAGAATAGACATCCATTATCTGTTCTAGTTTGTGTCCCTCTCTTCTTGAAATGAATGAAATAATAGCTGCATGAATCATGACAGCAGACAAGATAGAGGAGAGCAGGAGGCGGGGTTACCAATCTACTCGCTCTGGAGAGCAGAGTTCGCTGCTTTTAGATGTTGTCTCCAAAGTCTCCAGTAGCAGAAAAAAGTCTCTAGATTTGGCGCTAGGAGCTTTTTAGAAATCAAAGTGCTAGAGGGGTCTGAAAAGTGGCTAAATATAGCGACTAAAGCGCTAAGTTAGCAACACTGCTCTTTGCATGGTTTGTTTTCAAATGGTTTGCTGCTGTCTGTTTGGACCTTTCTGAACATGTGCAGCAAATGGACTGATCCAATATGGTGGACACTGAAGGGGGGGGCTGAGACACACTTAATATTATCAGCGTTCTGATGGCATTTTAGTTAAAGGATTTTTATCAAAAACATAATTAATGTGCACAGATAAGGAATAGTTGTATTAACCATACATGGAAACCGAGGAACTTGGGGCCCTAGGCCACTGCCTAGTATTGCCTAATGGTAAATCCCCCTAATGGTAAAGTCAGATGGGTTCAGTAAAGCAGATTCCTCCATCCAGCTCCTAACTGTGGGCTCCTCCAGGTCCCATGGAGACATCCTCGGTTCTCCTGCAGTGTGACCTTTGCTCCCTCCTGCCTGTCTGTTGAGTTCTGGAGTTATCTCTGGGTTTGTTATTGTCTACCAGGTGATTTCCATCTGAAGATGGTGGACTGGAGGGCCTCCAGCAAACACTGGATGTTTGTGGAGCTGCTTGGTCTTCAGGGCGTCTCGGACTTGGTGGCGTTTTTACTGATGGACTGAACTCAGGTGGACTGGAAGGATCCACGTTTTTATTTTATAGTTTTATAAACGGATACAGCCAGAGGGTCGAATACTTCTGAAGGCCCAGTGTTCTGTCAGATCAGCATACCCCATCAGACCAGCATACCCATAGTCAATACCCCTTCATCCCTTTTAGGTTTCTGCGAAAAATTAACTTTAAACTACTTCAACAGATGTGTATCTCTTTAGTCATGTACAAAGAAAATATTAAATTACTTACTTTTTGGTGTTTCTTTAAGCGTATGGCGATCTGACCTTAAATCGTTTTTCTTTTGTTCATGACTGAAGGGATACACGCCCGTTGATGTAGTTTAAAGTTTATTTTTGTACAAAAATAAAAGGATAAATGCAAATCTGATGTCTCACGCATGCCTATTGGCTTAGGACATGCTGAACAGAACAGCGTCTCATCGTGCATCATCCACGCCATTATTCCAGCTCTGATTGGCTCCTACTGAACCAGATGTTGCGGCCTGATCATTGGTTTTCACAGGAGTCGTATCTCGCCGCGGTGAATCTGGAGTTCAGGTTGAGGATCTGTGATCTCAGATACAGTTTGTTTTTCTTTCAGAGCTGTACTATGACAGAGGGAACCACCATGAGTTCGTGTCGTTGGTGAAGGACTTGGCTCGGCCTGGAGAGCTCACACAGTCCCAGACGTTTGACTTCGAGTTCACGCATGTGGAGAAACCGTACGAGTCGTACACGGGTCAGAACGTCAAACTACGGTGAGTTAACGACTTTAGACGATCATTTAGCCGCTCTCCTTCATACCCGGCTCTAAACTAGATGCTCCATTATGCTACGTTCTCAGCGAAAGCGTTTTAAGCACCAAAAACGCTTAAATACAGAAATCTGGATGCTGGATTAAACTGGTTCAGACGCTCTGGTTGTTTATCTGCTCTATTCTGTAGCTTCAAGCTAGAGAGCAGCTTGGCTTTATTTACTTTATGGGTTGATAAAATAGTTTTAACTCTTTTTAGGTGAGAAAGTCTAACTCCAAGTGAATAGAAGTGAATTGAAAGCGTTTTTAAAGGAAAAGTCCGATCAGCGAGGAATAATCAATGGATCATTATTTATACCTAAAACTAAAACGTTCGCTGTGATTTAATGAATATAGCATTAATCAGTAAAAAAATACAAATTTTCATCCTGATCACTGAGTCTGGGAGCGGCCATTTTTGCCCAAATATAGTAACCCCTCCCTCCTGCCATCTTCCAGCAGTGACGTCACGGTGCGGTAAGCCTAGCGCCATTCTCCCCGCTTTCCAAGCTAAATCAATGGGAACTACTAGACACATCTGCAATACGCAACATTTGGAAGAAGAATGTTTTTAAGATGACTTGGATAATAGCGCGTTGTGACAAACACCAGATACAGCACTGGGACTTGATCAACAGCCGATACCGCACCGTGACGTCACTAACCAGTAGGTGGCAGTAGTGTTCTTTGACAAACATGGATGCCTCGAGGGAAAAAGAGACTACCTGCCAGCTGTCGTCGCTTCGGCAGATGAAAAATAAATCAGTCTGATCATATTCAGAATTAAAATTTCTGAAAGAACTTTAAATATTAAATTATTCTGTTCAATAAATGATCAGTGTTTTTAATACATTTTTATTTGAATGTGCTTTACCCAAAAAAACTCCCTGATCAGCTTTTCTGATTGGTTGATGCTGCTGCATCCAGCCACAAAAGTTCAATTTGCTGAACTCCAGCGTTGAACGCTCGGAATGCGGCGCTCCCGATGCTCAAAGGCGCCACTGGACCCCTCGACATCGTCCTCCATAGACGTTGCGTGTAAACCAGCCGTCTGTTGTGAACGCAGCTTTAGACTCTGACTCAGCACTGGGCCCTAACAGCCGCTCTGTTGTCGGATAATGAACCTACAGCCGCGCAGCTCAGAGGTTAGCGGGGCTTCATGCTAACCGCTGTAACAGAACCATGGAGGTTAGATTTCCATCCTGCGTTGACCCATCAGCCCCTGAAGGCCTTCATGGTTCTGACGACCCGGCCCGTTCCGCTACGATCGTCATCCCGCCTCAGCCCATGCCTTTTCCTCTCCCAGCTGAACTCTGTTTGCTTCCAGGTACTTTCTGAGGGCGACGGTCGGCCGAAGGTTGACTGACATCAGCAAAGAGCTGGACGTTGTGGTTCACACGCTGAGCACCTACCCGGACCTCAACTCCTCCATCAAGATGGAAGTGGGGATCGAGGACTGCCTGCACATTGAGTTTGAGTACAATAAATCCAAGTAAGAGTTTTATTCCAGCAGATTATGGCATCGGTGAAGGGAGGACGGCTAGCGCTAACCGTTTGCCACGCGCTTGCAGATATCACCTCAGAGATGTGATTGTTGGGAAGATTTACTTCCTTCTGGTGAGGATTAAGATCAGACACATGGAAATCGACATCATCAAGCGAGAGACGACCGGAACGGGGCCCAACGTTTACCATGAGAATGACACCATCGCAAAGTATGAGATCATGGACGGCGCTCCGGTCAGAGGTGATCACCAGGAAGTCAGGGCCGGTGTTCTGTCAGATCAGCATACCCTGTCTGACCAGCATACCTATAGTCAATATGCATGCTTCAGATTTACGTTTATCCCTTTAGTTTTTTACAAAATATAGATTTTAAACTACCTCAACAGGCATGTATCCCTTTATTCATGTACCAAAAAAAAATAACTGAAAGGTGTGATCACCATACACTTCAAAATACACCCAAAAGGGAGTACTGTATTTTTAGGACTATATGTCGCACCAGACTAAAAGTCGCACCTTTTTGAAAGGTTATTTTATCCAGGGCTACTGTATCCATTTATACTAGGCTAATGCTCCAAGACCGCATTGTTTTCTTTCATGAACGAGCATCTGAGAAGCGGTAATAACGCGCCAGTTGCCCTGTCACCTACCCTGGTTGTTTTAGATATCACCACTACTATCATTAATACTATCACTGTTATATGCGTACATGTAAGAGGCCTAGTCTACAGGCCTATTTTATAGCCTAAATTACACTCTTAAAGTCGTAGGGGAAGCGGCCGTTCCAACCGTTGCATTTCCGAATTCTCCCTAGTGGTGCCCGACTTTACACGAGTGAATAAAGTGAATGAGATTGGTCGTTTATCAAAGGAGCAGGATTGTTGTGACGGAAGGTTCGCAAGCAAGTTTCGTTGTGGTCGGTTTGTCTGAAGTAGAGACTGACATTTTTTCGGGAATCCCACGGGTCACGGGATTCCCGTGGGATGGGAGTCAGTATTAGTAACGATCACGGGGTTGGGACGGTACAGGATTAAACGTTAACGGGAGCAGACGGGAGCGGGAGCAAACCAATAGTAACTTCCGCTCTGAGTTTTTCACCCGCGCTCAAAAACAACAAGAATGGGAGTGGTGCGGGAGCGGGAGTCATTCTGAATGGGAGCGGGATGGGAGTGGGAGTAATTTCACCAGGAGTGTGACGGGACAGGATTTAGATTTCTACTCTGGCCCGGGATCGGGACGGGACACCATTTTTTTCTGTGGGAGTGGGACGGGACAGGAGTGAAAATCCACTCCCGTGTCAGTCTCTAGTCTGAAGCATCTAGCTAACCAGTTAGCATCTTAGTGCTAGCAGGTTCCCAATGGGAAATTCCATTAGGACCAAGTAGCACTAAATTGGTGACTTAGAAACGACGCTGTCAAGGAACGCTATGGACAGCGGAAACATGCAAGAGGAGGAGAGTTTAGTGTCGGAGGTCATGGATGAGTCTCCTCCATCATCTATTTTTCATTTAGAGGAGGAAAGCGGGATGAAGATGTTGTGGAAGAGGACGCCAGGGCGGCAAAAGCTTGGTTTGGTGTAGAAGGCTTCCAGCCGTACATGTTTGAGCCCTTGCCTCGCAACGCTGCCAGTTCTGTTAGCTCTACGCCTGCCGAAGACACAGACGTCCATCCCCGTGAACACTGGGACGCAACTCAATGGGAAAGGAAAGGATTCTGATTTCAACCGTTGCGTATATTAGCTGCGACACATGAATCAAGATGCTATGACTGAAAACATTTGATTGACAGACGACCGTTGATATATGATTGGCTGAATTTAGGTGTTCAGGCTGACGTAGAACTAACTGGCCTGCAGAAGATAACGAATAAAAAACACTGATTTTAAGAGAGGATTTTTTTTTTAAATATATATTTTTTTTACTTTTAGGATAAAGAGTACATTTATATACATGATTAAGCAAGAAGGATTTGACATGTATCCATGACTTTCCTACGACTTTAATCAATTTGCTTTTAGAACGTTTTGCTGGTCGAGCTTATCGCTCCGTGGCTCTTTGTCAATAAAACTGCAGTCATCATCGAGGAGTGTCACTCTTCATTTTTGTTTGATTTTATTTAATAAAAATCAGAAAAAAATATTTCATCATATAAAATAAGATCCAATGACGGGTACGGTAGTGAAAACGATCTTCTAGTGAAGAAGAAAAAAAACAAGAACAACATCGGAGAAAATAAAAACAGGCAGAAAGTGCGCCTTTCCGATTCCAGATAAAACATTTTATGTCATTCAGACACTATATCATATCAAGACCACAACACTAGAGATCAATAATAGTTTATTTTGAAAGAAGTCTGTTTAAAAAACACAAAACAAAACCATCTAATAGGCTATGCAGCCAGTTATTCGAGCTTATTCAAAGAACTGATAAATCACAGGTCAATTCAATAAAGTTCATGCAAATCCATTGAATTCCTCGTCGTCGGTGTCGCTTCTGAACAATTCTGCCATCTCCACCAGCAGACCAAGCGCCGCTTCCTCTTCCTCTGCATGGCTGTGTTCAGACTCGTCATCATACTCGGGTTTCTGCTCCTATTCCAGCCTTTCAAAAGACGCCAGGATTGTTTCGTTTGTCGCTGAGGCCCATGTTTAATCCATCCATCCGATGACATCCAGGACAGATGCATGGTTCATCCTCCCGGTTCCCCATCAGTCATTTTCCACGGCATATTTAATAACTTTCAGCATATGAATTTCTTTTGGGTGGCATCTTTCTATTCAGTCGTTGTTTACATGCTAATTTGTTTTGTTGTGGTAAGTTATGACCTTTGTTCTTTCAGTAAAGCTACATAGCGCCCTCTTGTGGTGATGGAAAATGTGTCACACCAGAGTATAAGTGGCATGGCCAGCCAAACAATTTAAAAAAGTGCAACTTGAAGTCTGAAAAATACGGTCATTAAATTATTAAATTTTAACAATTTTTTTTTGTAAATGACTAAAGGGAAACCTGCTCACTGAGGTAAATCAAAGTCTATTTTTCATACAAAGCTAAAGGGATAAACGGGTATTGACTATGGGTATGCTGGTCTGACGGGTACGCTCCTCTGACAGAACAGCAGCGCTGTGAGCCGGCTCCTCCTCAGGCTAACTCTGCTGTTTCCTGCTTCTGCAGGAGAATCCATCCCCATCCGGCTCTTCCTGGCGGGCTATGAGCTCATCCCCTCCATGAGAGACGTCAACAAGAAGTTCTCGGTGCGATACTTCCTCAACCTGGTCCTCATAGACGAGGAGGAGAGGCGCTATTTCAAACAACAGGCAAGTAGACTGTGTGGGAACGAGGTCTTCAGGGACCGAGGGATTTCTCAGTATCTGCTGGAGGTAGTTTGATTCAAACGTTACTGAAATCGGGATTAAAAGCGGCTCATAGATCTGTTGCTTTATTAAGTAAAGTCTGAACTAGGGCTGCAACTAATTATTATTTTACTAAATCAATTAAACTGTGGATCATATTTTAGATTAATTGATTGATAATCGGATAGCCAATTGTTCCTTAAAGAAGATTTGTGAAACTGATGGAGTTCTGGATAGAGCAGATTGAGAGATAAAAAAGTTTTTTTTATCTTAAATCCCTAATGTTTATATATTTGTTTAATACATTTAGTATAATTCCTGCTCTAAGTGGGTTGTTCTGTCAGCTAAAATCATGTTTTACAGTCTTTAAATTCCAGCTAATGATTAATCAATTAGTAAATTAGTTGACGATTATTTCAATAATGGATTAATCTGATTGTTTGAGCCTTAGTCTGAGCGTGTGGTGTTTTCCCAAAGCGATGTTCCAGTGCTTCACATCTTGGGTTTTTAGAAAGGATCTTTGGATCTGACAGTGAATCTATGAGGCGGCTGTTCTGCAGAAGGCTTCAGTTTTATTGCTTTAAGTTATGGAATAATGAGCCAGAGAACGACAGACTTGGGCTTTTAATTGGATATAAAATCTGTCATCCTTCCAGGATGATGGAGAAATTAAGCAGCAGGACCAGAGGAAGAGGACTGGTTCCAGTCCTCCTGTGGGAGCAAACCCACCGGTTCACTAATTCCACTTTCTCATCAAATCTAATCTATAAACTCTTCCTCACCCGGCTTTCAATTTGGTTTCTGTTTCAGATGAATCCATTTAAACATGAATTCAGAGATTAAAGCTACGAGCCTCTGTGTGCAGCAGCTCATCCCTGCAGCGGCTGATGTGCAGCTCAGAAACTCACACTCAACATGGTTCAATGATTGGATCCATGTTTGAGAATTGATGTCCAATTACCTTTAAACTCATTTAGATTGAAATGTGTTCAAACAGTTCGGTTTATTTCTATGGCTCCATTTCACTCAGATCATCCAATGGTAAATAAACCGGCTGACTGCATCCAGCCAATCACACTGCAGGATTCTCTCCTCTGGACAGAGCTGTCAACAATATCAATGTTTATTACTGCAGTAGAAGTCCTAGAAGGAACAGCTTCAGCTTCTTACTCCAGTAAAAGTGGAAGAGTCCAATTTTTAAAACTACTTAAAGTATAAAAGTAAAAGTAATGCAGGAAAAAAATCTTAAGTATGTTTTTCTATAATTCTGGATGATAACTTCCTTAGTCTTATAACTAATGGTAACAGTGTCACATTTAACTTTGCATCATCTAGATAAACTATTTTTATTGGTACGTGGTGAGCAACAAGTTGGGGCAGCACCGAGTCCAACCACAAAGAAATTAATTATCTGAATATAACTGATTATTTTGATGCTTTTTATTTATTTAAGTACCAACAGGTCAGAATGAAAAAAAGCTGAAATGAAACAAAACTAACAAGATTATTTTTAAAATGTAAGAAGTAGAAAGTAGAGATAATTGCAAAAAATTGAACTAGTAGAAGTAAAAAGTTTTCTAATAATTCATCCCCCAGTAAAGAATAGATAAGGAACATTTCTACTGAAGTAAGGTAGCAAAGTATTTTTACGTAGTTAGTTGACGCTCCTGGATGAGCAGGTAGAAACAGTGGATGTTAGCTTGCATGGGGTCGGGACAACACAAGCTTTTCAAGAAGGTTTTATTTCTTTGCGCTAAACGTCACGCAGAATGCAGACCTTTGTTGAGTATTAATGGATGGATGAATGCGACGCAGGTAGCATCTGAAAACATCAGATTGACATCGGATTCAGGACCATAGAGCCAAGTGGCCTGGGTCGCATTGGAACACATCGGATCTCTGTTGTTGAGACTGTCATGAAAGATCAGATCCAGGCAAATATTGGCAAAAAAAAATCAGGTTTTGGTCACTTTAGGCTGAGGCAGGAACGTAGCTTTTGTCTAAATTAGAATAGAATAGAAATTCCATTAATTGTCCCAGAATTGGGAAACTGTGGTGTTCCAGCAGCAAAAGGTTATATAGTAGAAGTGGTCACACAATGTGGACCTTAGAAAACTTTACAAAATAACAAAGAGGAAAATAAAACAAATAGAGTATTTTATTTAACAATATGAACCTGGAGAATAAATAACCATTATTCAGCTATGGACATTTTTACATTGATGCTTATTTGAAAATAGATCAACATCAGAGATGTTTAAAATGACAGCAGCAGGTTATGTAATTGACTACGGTAGAAACTGTGCAAAATCAGCATGAATAGAAGAACTGATTGAGGTCGTTGGGAACAGTGGTGGTTCTAGAGTCTTCCAGCTGCTGGGAGGAAGGATCTGTGATAACGCTCCCTGGTGCATTTAAGGTGCAGCAGTCTGTCACTGAAGGAGCTGTCCAGTTCAGCACCAGCTTCATGCATGGGGGGGGGGGGGGGGGGGACATTATCCAACAGAGATGTTCGTTTAGTTAGGATCCATCTGTTTCCCACCTCCTGCACTGAGTCCAGAGGGCATCCAATCACAGCTGGCCTTCCTGATCAGCTGATCCAGACGCTTCCTCTCAGCTACAGATAAGCCACTGCTCCAACAGACAGCTCCATAGATGATGGCTGATGCCACAACAGAGTCAGAAAAGGTCTGTAGGAGCGCCACCTGCTGTCCAACAGTCTCCTCAGCAGGCAGGTCTGCTCTGACCTTTCTGATCCAGAGCCTCAGTGCTGGGAGTCCAGTCCAGTTTGTTCTTCAGGTGAACATCTAGGTTCTTAGGAGAGTCCAGTATCTCTGTAGCTACGTTTACATGCGCAAAATTTCCCCGATCCGATCCAAACCTTGGTTGATCGGAAATTAAAAATCTCCGTTTACATGGACACTAAGTGAAATGATCCGATCATGACGTGTGTATAAATGTACCAAGCGTTGGATCAGATTAAATCTTTTAAGCATGCGCAGAACTTCCTGCCAAACTTGGCAGTTCTGTCTGCGTCTGGTTTTTGGGAGGCCTGACAAACGATGCGCTCGGAGCGAGCGGAAAGAAAAACGGAGAGAGGAGGAAAAAAGCGCTTGGCAGCGAAATGTCCGAGAGAAAATGTAGAGAATGAGCGATTGAACCGGCGTGGGAGAGCGAGTGGGCTGTGGAGAGAGAAAAGAGGAAGAGAAGGAGGATAAATTCCTGCTTCCTGCAGCTTTAAATGAACTTGAGTGTATAAGTCGGCGTTCCTAGACTCCTCCCGCCATGTTGTTCACAGCAAGAGCGAGAGCGACCGGTGGTTTCCTGTTGTTGACAAGGCGGAAAAACGTCACGCTGACGTCGCACACATGCACAGTGAAGATTATTTTACTCTTCAGATCCGAATGGGTGTTTACATGGACGCCAATCGGAATGGCGATCGGCAAAAACCACCTCTCTCATTCGGACCGAATCGGATTAGAATCTTCAGTCTGACATGTTTACATGAAACATTTTTGATCTGATCAGGCCTTCAATCCGATTAGTTGTGTCCATGTAAACGTAGCTAATGTCTGTTCCCTGGATGTTCAGTGGGGTGGATCTGCTTTTCTGCTGGAAGCAGACCACCAAGTCAGGAGTCGGCTGTCTGTCCTCTGAGTCGCCCCCACCTGTGATGAGGTAGACTATGGCAGAATGGTCAGGGAGCTTATGGAGGTGGCAGCGTGGGGAGCTGATGGAGAAGTCCATCCATGTTCTCATGGCTGTGAGGTACCAAGCTGCAGGAAACCTGCGGTTATTCAGAGGGTCTTTAATCCTGCTGTGTCTCTGTCATTGTCCCAGTAAATGATATTGTGAATGACGCTACATCTGCATCCTGCTTGACCTTAAGGTTGGGACTCTCCAGGCTGGGTTTGGGTTAACGCTGCGTTTCTTTGCTGCAGGAAATCATCTTGTGGAGGAAAGGTGACATAGTGAGGAAGAGCATGTCTCATCAAGCCATCATGGCCGCTCAGCGCTTCGAAGGCTCCTCCTCCAACCCAGAGAGGTCTCAGAGCGCCAGCTAGGTCCCAGTCCAGGCTCAGACACGCCGGGGGAACCACAGTCTCTGCGTGTGTGTGTGTGTGTGTGTGTGTGTGTGTGGTTGTCCCAGTCTGGACTCTGTGTACATGAAGCGGGCCTCACTGGTACCAGCAGGAGGTCTGGTTCATCATCTGAGATGTTCAGGCTGGCAGTCACTGGTGTGACTGGGCTCTGATCTCAGGTCAGTCTCCACCTGATCGTCTCGTCCTTCATCGAGGATGATGATGATGTCAGTTCGCTGACGACCAAACATCCCGTCTGACCCAATGACACTGAAGGTTTCCTTTCTGGGCTCCCAGCTGTGCGGTGAAGCGTGTGTCTGTCTGACGATTGGAGCTTCTTCACTAATGGGAGTCGATTGTGTGAGAGCGCCCCCCGTCCCAGTTTAAATGGGATCAGATCTTCACTCAGCCAACATGAGTTCTGGTCTGACCGCGTAGAAAGTCTGCAGGAAGCTAACAGTTAGCGTGACGACTAATGAATGGATGAAGACGCTGCTCCTTGGTGACCACAGCTTCGGGAACAAACATGATTGCTGTAAAAAAAATAAACATTTGATTATTAAGAAGGGAATTCAAAGGTGTTGTTTTTTTGTCACTCATAAAAGAAATGTAAATAAAATCATTTTAAAAGTTGTTGGACTTGTTTTTATTTTTTTGTTGTGGTTCTGGCTGCTGGCTGGAGCTGCTTCACCTTTCATGGAGCTCCACCCGGGGCGGGACAGAGCTCCTCATGGACCTCCTTACCTGCTGGATGATGAGCTCATTCCCAGTTCATCAAACCAGTTGAAGCAAGAGCGTCGATGATCGGCGCCGCCTGGAAGGAAGAAGCAGGATGCTTTATTTCGCTCCTTAATAATTGACCTCACTGCAGACGTTGCTTCTCTGCTTCAGTTAAACTTCCTCCAGTCATCACTAACAAACTGGATCCTTCCAGTTAAACCAGTGGATCGTTCAGCCTAATGGTCTCAGAGTGTAAAGAACTGAAGCTGGAAGGAAATGCTGTGTTTCTGCATTTCTGCTGGTGTCTAAAGTGACCTCCTGGAAGTTGGCCCTGCCCCCCACCCAGTCCCAGACCAGCGGCTCCATTAAGGTTATATTGATCGTAAAATGTTAAAAGTGGAAACGGATGAAAAGCTGTAGACTAACCGCATCCCAACCTGCCGCTGCTTTCATCGTTGGTTCATAGAAAGTGGGCGGAGAATATGCTGGTGAAGATTCTCTGTCATCCAGTCATAGTCATTCCAAAAAAGTTAAAATAAAAACCACAATCCACTGGACTTTGTTTCAAAGTTTGAAGGCCTTTCTCTTCCCATCCAGGAAGCTTTTTCAATTCAAAATATCAGAAATAGAAATCATTATAAAGGGGTGGACCCGTTCGTCTGTGTTTTCTAAGCAAAAACGAGGCTTTGTTGGGATACTGTGGAGCAAGTCTCATTGGAATCTCCCTTTTTTTGTGCACCTTATTCTTTTTTTTTTTTTTACAAAAAATGGTCTTTTAGAAACAAGACAAACAACAACAATTCAGCACAGCCAAGTCTAATACAAAATCTGAAATGTCCAGTAAAACACCGGTACATGAATTTCAAATACACATCAGGGTCAAAACCTGTAATCCGTATGATAAGTCGAGGGGAAAAAAGATAAAAACACTCAAACTTAATGTTTAAAAACAAACTGTGCTCCCCTTTGTGTAATAGCTCTGCAAGCTCACTAAGCAGATGATCAAGCAAAGGCTGCATAGTCCATATACACTATATTGCCAAAAGTATTTGCTCACCTGCCTTGACTCACATATGAGCTTAAGTGACATCCCGTTCCTAATCCATAGGGTTCAATATGACGTCGGTCCACCCTTTGCAGCTAGAACAGCTTCAACTCTTCTGGGAAGGCTGTCCACAAGGTTTAGGAGTGTGTTTATGGGAATTTTTGACCATTCTTCCAGAAGCGCATTTGTGAGGTCGCACACTGATGTTGGACGAGAAGGCCTGGCTCTCAGTCTCCGCTCTAATTCATCCCAAAGGTGTTCTATCGGGTTGAGGTCAGGACTCTGTGCAGGCCAGTCAAGTTCATCCACACCAGACTCTGTCATCCATGTCTTTATGGACCTTGCTTTGTGCACTGGTGCACAGTCATGTTGGAAGAGGAAGGGGCCAGCTCCAAACTGTTCCCACAAAGTTGGGAGCATGGAATTGTCCAAAATGTCTTGGTATGCTGAATCATTCAGAGTTCCTTTCACTGGAACTAAGGGGCCAAGCCCAGCTCCTGAAAAACAACCCCACACCATAATCCCCCCTCCACCAAACTTTACACTTGGCACAATGCAGTCAGACAAGTACCGTTCTCCTGGCAACCGCCAAACCCAGACCCGTCCATCAGATTGCCAGATGGAGAAGCGCGATTCGTCACTCCAGAGAACGCGTCTCCACTGCTCTAGAGTCCAGTGGCGGCGTGCTTTACACCACCGCATCCGACGCTTTGCATTGCACTTGGTGATGTATGGCTTGGATGCAGCTGCTCGACCATGGAAACCCATTCCATGAAGCTCTCTGCGCACTGTTCTTGAGCTAATCTGAAGGCCACATGAAGTTTGGAGGTCTGTAGTGATTGACTCTGCAGAAAGTTGGCGACCTCTTCGCACTATGCGCGTCAGCATCCGCTGACCCCGCTCCGTCAGTTTACGTGGCCTACCACTTCGTGGCTGAGTTGCTGTCGTTCCCAAACACTTCCATTTTCTTATAATACAGCTGACAGTTGACTGTGGAATATTTAGGAGCGAGGAAATTTCACGACTGGATTTGTTGCACAGGTGGCATCCTATCACAGTTCCACGCTGGAATTCACTGAGCTCCTGAGAGCGACCCATTCTTTCACAAATGTTTGTAAAAACAGTCTGCATGCCTAGGTGCTTGAATTTATACACCTGTGGCCATGGAAGTGATTGGAACACCTGATTCCAATAATTTGGATGGGTGAGCAAATACTTTTGGCAATATAGTGTATCATTACAATTACCCTTTATAATGGCACTGAGGCGCTGCAGAGGAAGCACCTTGAACGTTTCTCTGTACCACTGTGATACAGAAGGGGGCCGTTCCTGAATCCACTGAACACATCGTCTCTCCAAATGTAAAAGTTTATGGAGTAAAGTCATTAGTGCTGAGGATAGAGAAAGCCCTTCTACAGAAAGACGAACCTCCAACTCTCTTTCCCACCCAACCCTGATAAGGCCAGGGTGGGAAACAACAAACTGAACAAAATTCAAAGACAGTAATTTCCCATAACAGAGAGAAATGAATTTCTTTTTAGTGAGTACATCTTCATTACATTTAAGAAGAAAGCTTTCAATAGAGTTCAAAACAGGTTGGTTGACTGGGAATTAAAGAGAATTTACAAAATGTCTCACTTGTAAAAACTCCAAAAAGTGTTTTTGTGGTATATTATACTGAGTTTGAATTTGTTTAAAGGACATAAAACGACCCTTTTCAAATAAATGACAAACAAGTCTTATTTTTTTAGAATGCCAATCATCAAATACACTAATGCCAATACCTGGAGGGAAAGCTTGGTTCCTAATTAGAGGTTGCAATGCACTAGAAAAGCCTCTTCTTCCAATGTGGGCAGCAATATTATGCCAAACCTTGAACCTTTTTGACAAAATTTTGCAATCTACACCGAGCAAACTTATAGATCTATATGACGCACATAGATCGGCTGGCCTATCCTCCTTCAATATCAGAGATATGTGGGCTAGGTTGAGGGTAGGCGGGAGCACGCCCTTCTCAAATGATTCCATATACATATTTAATAAGGGATTTGCAATGTGTTTAGCCATTTTCTTATAAAACTCCGACCCAAACCCATCAGGGCCTGGAGCTTTTCCACCCTGTAAAGATTTGGTAGCTTCTAAGACTTCCTGTGTCCTAATAGGTCTACACAGATCTAATTGTCTCTCTTCCGTCAGTGTAGGGAGGTTAATATTATCAAAAGAGTCCTTCCTAGAATCTGCAGAATCTTGACTCTCAGAAGAATATAGTTCCTGATAGAACTCTTTCATTATTCTACCAATAAGCTTAGTCTCATAGTGTAGATCACCTTTCTTGTCTTTGAGAGAGGGTATTGCATAAAACCCATTCTTCCCCTGGGCAAGTCGGCCAGGTTTATCGCCGGATTCAAATAATCTTTGCTTTGCATAGAATGTTGCAGTTTCAACTTTTTGAGTAAATAGTTGGTCCAAGGCTGATCTGGCTGCGTCCAGTTTTTTAAGCACAGAAATGGACGTGGATTGTTTAAACTCCCCCTCCAGATTAACAATATCCTGTTCCAGTTGTAGTTGTTTAGCTAAGGTGTTCTTTATTTTCCCTGCAGTGAAAGAAAGTATAGAGCCCCTGAGAAATGCCTTGCCTGCTTCCCATAAGGTAGAGGCACTGACCTCTGATGAATCATTTGTAGAAATAAAGAGCTCCCATTGATCTTCTAAATATTTTAAAATACAGACTCACAAAGCAAAGTTGGATTAAGACGCCAATGTCTAGACAAAGAATCATAATAAGGTGGTAAAAATTCCTTTGAAACTGAAGAATGGTCTGAGAGAGCGCAGGTGTTCATTGAACAACCCTGAGTTCTGTCAAGAACAGATCTAGACACAAATAGATAATCAATTCTAGAGAAAGAAAAATGGGGACGTGAAGAAAAAGTAAAGTCTTCACATGTGGGTTAAAAATTCTCCAGGCATCAAAAAGACCAAGATCTGAGCACAACTCAATTGTAGCCTTAACCATTCTTGAGGATAGTTGAGATTTTGGTGGATTATAATCAGTCTAAAATATTACCTGGTTACTGTCAATTATGGAACTAAACGTTAATCTGTTTCAACAGTACATATAGTCAAATGACTCTATTAATACGTCACAGTAAAAAGATGATGCATATCCACCCTTTAAACAGTCTCTCTGTACCTTAATCGCAGTAAACACAACAGACTTCCATGCCTTGCCGTGGGCCGCCTCAATATAATAATCCAAGTTGAATATTAGTCCAGTGCCTTGATGAAATTCTGTGCATCCTTCGGCGAGTCAAACTTGTGTTCAGTCCCGTTGTGAGTCAGCGTGAGTGTCGCTGGGTAGCGCATGTTGAAGCGAATGGCCTTGTCAATCAAAGCACGGCTAGTAGCGTTAAATCCCCTCCGCTTCTCACGGACTGCATAAGAGAAATCCTGGTGTATAAAGATCCGATGTCCCTCGTAGTCAAGCTTGGGAGTCGCCCTCACTGCCGCCATGATGCGCCGCTTGTCCCTGGAGTTGTGGAGCTTAATAATGACCGGTCTGGGACATGTACTCCGCAGGCCGAGGACCCGGTGTGCGCGGTCTACTTTGATACGAGCTTTACCCGCGGAGCTGTTCCCCAGGCCGAGCGTAGCAGGCAGCCAGGCTTCAAGAAACTGGATAGGACTCTGACCCTCCGCGCCTTCTTACAGATTGATAATGCGGATGTTATCCCGCCTGCTCCTGTTCTCCATATCATCCAAGCCCTTGACCACGGTCTTCATTTTCTCTTCGGCTTCAGTCAGTCTCC